GGCATTACATGAATCCGAATCTATCTGAGGATGAGGTCCGTAAGGCCCCAGTAGATTCGCGCGACTCCTATCCACATCCTCGTGAAATCAATGAGGATGCCACTGATGTCTCGCAATTATCAGACGCGGAATACAAGCGATACCAGCGGTTGACCTCGGAATTCGATAAGGAAACTAGCTGGAATGAATCGATTCGCACGAAGATTAACAAGGTAGATGCCTTGATTGATGCCAATGTTGCTCCAGAACATCGTCATATTCTCGAGGGCAAGGTCACTCCACATGAAAAACTGGTCCGCTTGAAGCAGCAGTTTGAGCCCAAGGGCGATACTAGCCGCCAAAGCGTTCGAAACGCATGGAGAGATCTGGTCAGAAGACCAATTGGCAGAATCTCAATTGATAAATGGCTTGCAACATGGTCAAATCTCTATGAAGAGGGTAAAGCAATGAATATCCCGGACATTGCATACCATGACGATAAGGGAAACCCTCAGGATCGAGATGCCATTCGAGATTTCCTCCAAGCCGTTGAATCATTCGATGAGGTATTTGTATCCCTTTGGAGGAAAGATATTATGAATAAGGATTTCAGAATTTCCTTCCAAGATATCTTGGCAGCATACCGGAATCACCGAAATGCTAAGGGTGTTGTCAAATCCCCAGGAAATTCTAGCAGCATCGCATTCGCTGCTACTCTTAATGAGCATGAGCCCCAAGAAGGACAGAATTCCGCTCAGGGCTCCCACAATTCTCGAGAACCTCGCTCCAATTGCGTCTGCGGAAGTTCTCGTCATCATTGGAAGAACTGTTTCCATATCAACGCCTCTAAGAGGCCTCCTGGATGGAAACCGTATGAGGATGCTGCAAAGCGAGTAGAACAAAACATCAAGAAGCTCAATGCTGCAAAGCAGAAGGAGCTCCGGAAATTTATGAAGGATAATGGTCAAGAGAAAACCGCCCAATTGGCCCTTACCCAGGCGGATGATGTATCCACTGAGACCCTCATCTTTTTCACTGTGTCTCCATTCGTATTCAAAACCGCCTTAACTCACCCGTTGGCTGCCTGCTGGATAATTGATTCAGGTGCCAACACTCATATCAGCAACCAACGAGACCGATTAATTACATTTACCAAAGAGGAACGCGAAGTGGTCCTGGGATCAGGCAAAGCAATTGCCCAAGGACGAGGAACTGCAAGAATTTGCGTTAACCAACCAGGTGGAGGAACTACCTGGGTACACCTCAAGGATGTGTGGTATGTCCCAGGATTCCAAACCAACGTCATCTCTGTATCAGAAATCAAGAAGAATGGATTCTTCTTCAATAGCGAGGTTCCCGCCATCACTCGCCAGGGGACTTCGGTTGCTATGTGCACAGAGAGATTTGGCTTATATCTCCTAGATGAAGGACAACCTTCCTATGCATTTGCTACCGTTAAGACCTCTGCCAAACCGCTCGTCTCAGTGGCAACCCCACGAATATGGCATAGACGGGTTGGCCACCTATACGATAAACGCATCAAGATACTTGCCAAAATGGTTGATGGCGTTGAAATTCGGCCAGATAATGACGATTCGGCCCTGTCAAATCCCGAAGTGTGCGAGACATGCCAAACCTCTAAGGCAAAACGACAAATCTCACGACGGCCGGCTGACAGAGGGTATATTCATGGCAAATTCGGACGCATTCACTTCGACTTGGTACATATCAAGGATGGTTATAACGGCCATCAGTGGTTTTCACACCTTTACATTGAAGGAATTCGGTTGCATATGGCCCAAACCCACGAGAAGAAGAACGGCTGTATTCAGGCTATTCAAGCCTTCATTGCAATTTGCCGTACACAACTAAAGATGGACATCAACGTGTTCAAGAGCGACAGAGAGCCTACCTTAGGCAATGAATTCATGGAGTACTGCAGACAAGAAGGTCTGACAGTAGAACTCAGCGTGGTTGGAACGCCGGAACAGAATGGATTTATCGAGAGGGCAGGAGGAATCATCATTACCACCGCGAGGGCCCTTATCGCTGATTCAAGCCTACCCAAGAATCTTTGGCCAGAGGCAGTGGCAGCGGCAGTGTATTTGGTTAACCGCATGCCTACCAGGATGCCCGACGGCAGGTATATTATCCCATGGGTTGAAGCTATGCAACACAGGGACCCTTCGCAGGATCTGCGCCCAAACCTCTCGAATCTCCGATTGTATGGATGCAGAGCGTACGTGATGCGCCAGGGAATTGCCAAATCTGATAAGATGGAGCCGCGCGCTGAGATTGGATATTTGGTTGGATATGTTGCATCGAATATTTGGAAGATCTGGCTGCCTCAATTGAACCAAGTCAGGGAGTTCAGAGATGTTGTTTTTGACGAGAATATACAATATAATCCCTCTGAAAATGCCGTGCCGATCGCACCAGCAATTCATGATGTTGGATATTGGGATACCGAGGTAAACGACTCGAATCGAAGACACTCGAGAGATGAAGAATTTTTCGCGGATTCAGTGGAACAAAATGCTCCCGCACCTGAACATTCCAAGAAGCAAGCTATTCACGATAATAGCACACGTGTTATGGAGAGAACACCACCTCCTATGATAACACCTTTGCCAACGCCTACTCCAGCTGCTTCACCCAATGAAGTTCCTGGTGCATTTCCCACCGAATCTCGGCCTATTCGTCATGAACCTGAGGGGGCGGGGCATCATACAAGCGATACTGTACAGCAGCTTCATACCGAATTGAGCAGCACCCCGCCATCGAATCCTCCACCAGGATATCGCCTACGAGGAGAAGTGGCACCTAGAAACATCGACTCATCTCTCTCAAGAAGCAATATCATCGAAGGAAAGAGAAAAAGGGCTCATTTCGCAGCAATGGAGGAACTAATTGAGCCAACTGAGTTAATTGAAGAGGATGAGATTCATGATGGTGTCCTTTTGGCCTTTAGTGCGGGTCTGACTCAGCAGAAACCCCACCGAGAGGATCTTCCCCCTGAACCAAAAACCTGGTCTGAGATGTTGAGGCACCCACATCGTGATGGATTTATACATGCTGCCTCAGTGGAAGTCAAAGGCCTTGAATCGAAATCGACCTTTAGAGAAGTGGACAAACCGAATGACAAGGGACTTCAAATCCTTCCGTTGACGTGGGTTTTTACCTACAAATTTGACAGTGACGGATACTTGGTCAAGTATAAGGCCAGAATCTGTGTCCGCGGAGATCTCCAGAAGTTGTCGACCGAGGAAAAGTATTCTGCTACACTAGCAGTGCGAACCGCGCGGGCTATCTTTGCCTTTGCCGCGAATTTTGACCTAGATATTCGTCAGTATGATGCTGTTAATGCATTTCTCAACAGCAAGCTTGAGGATGATGAGGAGGTCTATGTTGAGCTCCCACCTGGTATGTTTCCTAAAGGAAGAAGGTGTTGGAAGCTTCAGAGGGCCCTGTATGGCCTTCGCAAATCGCCAAGGATGTGGCAGAGAGAAGCATCAAGGGTTTTGACTGCACTCGGATTCAAGGTAGTGCAGGAAGATCTCTGCATGTTCGTCCGGAATAGCATTATTGTCGTATTTTATGTTGATGACATTCTTATTGTGAGCCCACGAGATGCACGGGAGGAGGCAGATGATGTTGCCAAAGGCCTCAGCGATGCCTGGGAGCTGCGTTCTATGGGTGAAGCACAGTGGTTTTTAGGCATTCGTATCCTTCGGGACCGCCAAAAAGGCATAATCTGGCTATGCCAGGATGCTTATATCTCAGCAATGGCGCACCGATATCATTTGACCCAGGAACGACGCATTGATACTCCTCCAGTCTCCATTGCCACATTGAAACCGTATAACGGCACTGCCTCGGATGCGCAAAAACACGAATACATGAGCAAGGTTGGATCTGCCCAATTCCCGGCAATTGTCACTCGCCCAGATGCGGCCAAGGCCACTGCCCATCTTGCTCAATTCCTTGCAAATCCTTCGCCAGAGCATATTCATGCTATCAATTCTGTCATCGTCTTTCTCTATCATACGAGAATGAGGGCCATTTGCTTCAAGAAGCAGTCAATCCCTCCTAAACCATCCGTTCAATTCTTCAGTGATGCATCATTCGGTGATAATCTAGATCGCAAATCATCTGCTGGATATATCTGTATGATATTTGGAGGACCTGTCGATTGGAAGGCCTCGAAACAGAAGACTGTTACCACAAGCACTACTGAAGCAGAATTATTGGCTTTGTCAGAAGCAGGCAAATCTCTTTTCACGTGGAAGCGCCTTTTCGACGCTATTAAGTTCAATCCTGGTCACCCTGTCGCTTTGCAATGTGATAATCAGCAAACTATAGGGCTTTTGACGAAGGAATTGCCTCAATTGCACACCAAGCTGCGACACATTGACATTCACCAGCATTGGCTACGTCAAGAGGTACAAGCTGGACGAATCCCTATCGAATGGGTAAAGACTTCTGAGATGGTCGCAGATGGTCTTACGAAGCTCCTTCCTCGCCAGAAGCACGTTGAATTTGTGAAGTTGCTTGGTATGGAAGAGATTGGTCATCTTGTTGAAGAGTTCAATTGAGCTCGTCCATTCATTTGTACAGCAAAATCCCCATACAGTAGGATCTTGCTGAGGGGGTGTGTCAGGAAAATGGTGATCAGCATCGTATTGACCCAAACGGTACCTCTGGGATTCTAGAGGATTCGATACCAGGTATTCTCGAGGCTATTTCAACCCCCTCGATCCCAGTAGATAGGAGAGGAATCAACACTCTTTTGATCTCATCGTTTTGGGTAGTTCCCTTTTTTGATTCCGTTGCGCCAATCGCCTAGTACATCCATTGTATTTCCCTAGCTATACAGGATATTCCTGTTAGCTATTGTATGGGAACCACGTTTTGATTGACTTTTGATACGGTGCGCTGAACAAGGCCTCGACCTTACTGTCCGTCCACCTCTGTGGTGCTCTGATATTCGCACCGCCAAGTCCACTATGAACCGTGATCAGTCATGGATATATTTTGGGCCACATGGAGGAGCGTTCATACTTGCCCCCGATCTTGCTATTGATTGCGTCGGGTACCCTGTAGTCGCTCCAAGCATCGGGTGCATACTTAGGTTGGAAACGCATCGTGTTGAGGTTGAAAATCTGGACAATTCCTCCTTCTACACAGAGCGAGGGGTCCCTGAAGCGCCCACCCATCACCAGCATCTGGTCTGGGAAAACGCGGAAACATCGATGACCACTTCTTCCGTGAGTCGAGGACCCGTTGTAGACCTTGGTCCATATGAAGGATGGCAGAGAAAGAACATAGACGTCGTCATACGGCACATTCTCCCCGTCCTGTCCATCGTAGCCTCCGTAGATATATATATTGTGGGAACTCCCGTCGCTGGCCGAAGCTAACGTAGAGCAGAACATTGTCCGACCAAGCGACGGGATATCACCCGTGGTGTTCTGTACATACCTGCCATTCATAAGTAAAACGGTCACTCGACGGAGGTTGCTGTGGTATTACCATGATTGGCTCGCAATATCGTAAATGGGAATTTCCTGCATAAACGAGGGATCCTCCTCGGCCTGGTGGTATTAGCAATGGATCGCTGGAGGTAGAGAGACATCTCACATTTTGCTTCTGCTGGGCCTTCGAGAGGCCTGACGGGTACAGCACCTCTGGATATACTCCTCCCCCAATTACGACTAGAATACCACGCTCACCGGTCGGAACCCATATGAGCTCTGCGTCGGCACGTGACACAATGTGATCTGGCAAGGTCTCATTGACCCACTGATGATACCCCCTGCTGCGTCATATTGACCGAGATCAGGGTATTGGCCGTAAAGTTGGCCGACTCATCGTCCTGCATGATCGGTCCCCAGTTCTCCCCTCGTCTTCCGCCAAAGTAGAACCCTAAATCCTCGCTTGGTACCGATGCTCCCGCTCCATTTGTCACGAACCTAGTAAGGCTGTCATCAAGCGTAATATTGAAGAACCCTGGTTCCCAGGCATCTTTGCCAGTACCTTTTTGAAAGGCGCGATAGCCAAGCATCCCCTGGGGCCCCGGAGTACTAGCACTATCCGTAGGCCGATGAAGTCCACTGTCAGACATTAGCTAGCGCCTCGTTGCTCCAATTTAGATTCAACGAACCCATAGAGCACCAGGTCGTCATCATTCGTGAACATTGCTCCACTTTCAAATGTGATTGACTGGTATGCCGGATCGGAGATCTTCGTAAATAGAGCGGAGAGATTCGTGACATCGGTATCGTAGGGCTCACGAAGCGAGAATTCGACGATGGTGCCACTCAATCCTGCTGGGAACGTTAGGTGATAACCGGCATATTGCATACACTGAACTAACCGTCCTTCTCGGGAACCCCATATGTTCCATCGGAATAACCACTAGAATGCATAAGCATAATAACACACAGAAGCACAAGAACATCATACTTCAAATCCCACTTCGATCCCCCGGCAGAGTAAACCTTGCCTCTCGTCAAGCTAACTTCGATCATTATATTACCGACCGTAAGATGGGACCGAGGCACATACCCCTAGATTGAAACCAGTTGCACATTGAAGTATTCACTTGGGAGCTCCATCCTTCCGAGCGATCCGTCCAGAGTAGAGCGACCAACAGCCACGCTCTCCATGCTGACCGCATAATCGAGGGATGACCTAAAAAGGGTACTTCCCAGGATGCAATTTCTGGTTATGTCGGACAGTAAATTGTCGATAGTCGATGTTTCCAATGAGGAGGAGATCGAGGAGCCTGGCGCTGATATACTATCACTAGGGTGCACCAGTGCCTCTAGTAACGCCCCACTTTTTACCTATTACAAAGAGCACAACACTCAATCCCACTAGCGAAGACCAGGTTCTTGGCAGTTCTGCTGTACGTGTGGCGAGTCCTACTTTGATAGGGTCACATCTTTCCTTGGCAGCGTGGGAATCTGGGTCACCTAGAACAATCTTTAACCCCTTGACAGTCAAGTGGGCATGTGAGAGTCAACAAAATGTAAATGTTGCCATATTGCACCACCAGCCCCTTTTACGAAGGTCAGCCGCGTCGACTAGCGGCAATACATCTCTATCTGTATCTTTTACACTGCCATGGCTGTCACTCTCCTGCCTTGTCTATTGTAGGTGCCTAGCAAGTATCCCGACCATTAAGTTGCATCTTCAAAAATTCAAATCATAAATTTGTGTCACACGGGCGTTCTGGAAACAAAATGGTCTAAGTTGGTACGGGTGGGGTGGAGACTTCGACCGCGCCAGGTTTGGATTCGTTATTTTCCAGATTTAGAACCGTTTATCCTCCATAAAATGTAAACTGATCCACGTATTATTATCCAGGATAGACTTGAAGCGTAATATGTTATTGTCTCTGTTAAACCGCAGTGAGTAGAGACCGACCCGCTGTAGCCTCACGTCTGATAGTCATAGTATGGCCAAAGTGTCCGTCGGAGGAGCCCGACGTGCGGATCCAAATTCCAGACGGAGCGTTCAAGTACTCATCCGATCATAAGCCTCTTTATCCAGCTACAATAACCCTGTCAAAGAAGACCACGGGGAATTGTGAAATTGAAGTGTACAGCAGTACGCACAGTAAATACACCCTTATTATTGACTATGATCTAGGATTTCAGTATTATCAGTCTCCCCGACATATTCTAACATGGCAGGAACGATCCGGGAAGCGCCGAGAATTCTCTATGATCGGTGGCCAAGGAGACTTGTTTCGTGCCTTTGTTCAATATTTAGGAAGATACACAAATGTCCGAGGTCCTAGCAATCGTCGGGAGTTCGATGGCGTCACTGGTAGAGAGTTTAGTATGCCGCGTGAGACAGTACCAAGCACGTCTCGTGCAAACCCTCTGGGAAGTAACATTATTTACCCTACCCTCCCCTGCGATAGTAAAATTGAAGATAGTAAATACACTGACTCCGTAGCATCTCAGCAGTATCGAAATTTCAGCAACCACGACAAGGTCATGATAAAGATGGAGGATATTCCCCAGTGGGAGCCCAGTGATGTGAAATATCAGTACAGTGATCCTGATGAATTGCGCAACACGGATAATTCCATCCTGATTGTTGGATCCACATTGGTGGTTGTGTGCCGGGGCTCCAACATTGGGTTATATCAACGACGGCATACGGCAGCAGGCGACCCTGAGCTTTTACTTGACCAACACCATGCGCCTTCAAATTGACGAATCAAAGATATCACCCTCCGGGGGCTTTCTCTGTGAAAATGAGAGCCAGTTGCGAGTGTGGACGGTAGCAAGTGATGAAATGTATCAGGTCAATCTCTCGGGTGAACGCAAAGGCATCGTTGGGGTGTGCCCACGTCGGGGCATGTCCGGGCTACTTGGCCGATCTTCTGCTTCCGCTGATACCGAGGCTTTTGTCGGTGTAAGTAAAGACAAGCTGATTCGGGTCGCGAATGGGCGATACTTGGATGAAAGAAAAACATACACAGGCGAGAGGTTTATTTGCGTAGCGACTATCGCAGGCGACCGGATTGCAGCCGCATCGTTGATGAATAGAAATAACACAGGCGTCCTACGGCTATATCACGGAAGCATAGAGCGCGCGAAAGTTAGGCGCTACTTTCAAAGCAAGCCTATTCACCATATTTGTATCGCAGCGAGTGGTCAATGGATTGTGCTTACTACCGATGGGGAGCTTATTCTGTTCGAAACTTTAGAGGATAGATGTCGCTTTCAGATAAAACCAAAAAGCCACATTCACACCCTGAAGTTGAATAAAGATGACATGAGGAGGTTCCAAAGGGATGGCAAACGGGTGGTTTTCACTGGTGCGTATTTTCACAATAACGACGAAGAGATAGTGACCACGGTGGGGCATTGTCTTGTGAGGTGGAGTCTAGATAGCATTGAAAAATTCATTCAGGGGGAGAGGATCAATTTCCATATGTGCCCACATGGTTTGAGAAGGACATCATTGCTAGTGGTTCTTCTGAGGGCTCCAAGGTTATTGTGGTGATGCATTCAAAGTCTGTGTGTTACGTGATCTAGGCAAAAGACTTTGCCAACTCTACTTGACCACTAGGGCGAAGCTGAAGTCTACGCACGCTTAGAGTTGAGACACCACTGCATGAATAATATAGTGCTGGATTTTCCGTCGTCATGACGAAATGTTCCATTCTATCCTAGTCAGTAAAAAGTTCGCTCCTGAAAAGCTAAGCTGGCTTGGTACTGGATGTTCTTCCAGTATGGCCCATAAGCATGTAACGATTGTATATACGCAGAAATGCGGCGCGAATGGCTTCTCGATTAGATCTTGATTGGGAGCTTGTAGTGTCAACTGGTTGTAGATGTACTAAACATAATGCTCACTGTCGCAATTTCTATAGGACGCCAAGATGGTTTTATTGTCCTCAAAAAGTAGATACATATTCATCTCTTCTATCATATCAAAATACAGACAAAATGGGCTTTCTGAACCCGACGGGTACGTATTCAAACGGGGGTTGCAATGATTCATGTAAAGAGGCACCTCTAGGGTTGGTATGCCCCGTTTGTTCGGTTAAACATCCTCGCCACAGACATCCTAGATTTTTCAGTTGATGTCGGCAAGATAATGGGAGGGTACATACTGCTCGTCGTCTAGAAAAATCGGCATAGAAGCCCAACCAATAATCACGATCGCGACAGTCGTCTTTATGTCCACTTGTCGCATTGGATCGACAGCGGGGCCGTTCGTGATCCATGACTTCTTGAGGGGCTCTGATCCAGGGCTACAGCGGACGGTTAGATACGCTTTCCAAGGTAGTTTTAGAAAAGTACTTTCAATAACGAACCTTTGGGACGGGCCAGTCAGAAAAATGTAAGAATTTAGCCTCACGGAGCACTTTGTCTGGATTCCAGACTTCTTGGTCATTGCCCAAGTACTTGGTGTGAATTTCACCACGGAACTCCCCTGTCAGAATCATATATGGACGATGCGGGATGATGAGTGCACTGTCCTTGTAGAGAGTGTTCACAATTTCCATGTCATATTCGGAACCACTAGCATTGTTAATAGCAGCCATGACGCGGCGGAATTCAAAATGAGAAGGTTGAATCAGTAGCAACCCGGTGCCTTGGACACGTTCATCAGGGTTAAGCCAGTAGGCTCGAGGTAATCCTAATGGGCATGGAGGCATGAAGAACAATTCGTCTAAGTTCTACAGACTTTTAGCACAAAGATATTGAAATTCTACTTGAGTTCTAGAAACACACCTGCAGTATAGTTGAGTCCGAGTCTAAATTTAGAACTCGATCATATTGTCTGATTAAAGGCGAGGAGTTTAGTAAAACTCTTCGCCCATGTTGCTATAACACGGTTAGTATTCACAATTTTAATCAAAGAATCAGGTGACATATACCATCCCCACTGATGCGACTCTGAACCTGAATAGGTACCAGTTGAACCTTGTATTGATCTCGCGCTTTCCGCAGTAGTCGACCCACCGGTTCAGCATCGTTTTCGTCTAGCGAAAATTCCGATGGGTACATCATAACTCGGTCAGGCTTGCTGTTCAAGCGATGTAGGGTTTCAAACAACATGACTGAATTGCAGAGGTAGGCTGTGTTAGTGACATATTGCGTGTAGGCAAAGCGCGACCAGTCCACTGCGTCAACGTCTGCTTGAACACCATGGTGACTTGGGAGGTATGCCACCGTAGGCCCATCTGTTAGAATGAGCAGGGACTGGATTAGGACAAGAATGATAAATATGGCAATTATAGCACGTAGGGCTTTCGGAAGACTTCCTAGCATGGTGAACCACGCTGGGAAAAAGACGACAAAAAGGTTCGGCAAGGATTCCGGGAGGCAATGTGGTTGCTGTCTAACATCAAAACTAGGTACTCAGCTCGCTGCGCTAAAATGCTGGCAGATAGTGAGATTTATACTATTTCCTTAGCGCGAGACCAATATTAGACTGGAATAAAATGTTTGTGCGCCTTACTGGCTATCTGCGAAACCTTAAAAATGAATAACAGGGTATATTTCCCTTACTACCAATACCCATGCAGGTAACCGCATGAACACAGCTTCACAGTCAAAGTGGTATCGTAAGACATGGTATATTTTATAGGACACGTGGTAATCGACTAGCAGTACCATATTCTATACCTGCATAGCAAGGGTAACGGAACGCGACCTTCTCGAATGCAATTTGGGGCGGGCTTTACATGTAAAGATTGACAAGACTACTGTAGTGGGCCTTGAATGTCGCCTTTGTTTCTAACCGAAGGAAGAGATGGGATCCCAATCTTGCCTGTATAGCCATAGCTCAGCATTTCAATGGATATAGCAAGGAATTTCATATAGGGAGCCAGATGAAGCATTCTTTCAATTAGGAGGAAGTGATCCAACTATAACTAGCAGATCAGATACCGGCCGTAGGACGTAGGACACAACTTACCATAGGCATTGTAATTGTATGCTCCATAGACACATTCGTCCGTGATTTCCGTTGTGCCGGTGCCCGAGAGAATTGTCTGCCCACCACGAATGACTGCAAAGCTCTGAGGCCCTAATCCCATTGATACCTCTTTAGCACTTACACCTAGCGGCGCCTCGTAGGAGTAGACATTGCCTCCGCTGCTCACTCGCACGGTAGCCGCGGAAGTCAGTAGAGATACAACAAACACGGAGTCGTTCAATTGCTGCCAGCCATCCGGTCGCCCTATAAAGTAATTCCCGCTACTATTATCGGCCTCGGACATGCAGGTGTCCGTCACCCCGCAATATATCTCTCGAGGGTTTGGCCGATACCAGTAAACCAGCTTATCAGACGTGACAAACTCGTCAGGGGAGCTCGCGCCTTGCTTGAACGCGTCAATAAATGGTTTCGCAACGTCTAACCATCCGTCGTGAGGCCTACTCAGATCAGCCACGCCGCAGCAGTAGCTCCGCGGAGACCCACATAGTATTTGTCCATTTGGAAGCCCCATCATCAGTGTGTGGAGAATTTAAGGGCCCGATATAATGACTCTCTCCGTAGTCATTCCAAGTGAGGATTTCAATAAAACGAGGACTCAGGGCTAGGAGCTCCATCCATCGGTGAAACCAGAGTAAATCCGACGGGAAAACCCAGTTCTTACTATAGGATACCTCGGGCCCGAAATGCGTGAAAAACCACGGTGAAACCGCTGTAAGGGAATTAGTAGGCTATTCAGCTGGCTGGGGCATACGTGAGGAGCCTCACGCGCGATATATGATTTTCCTGCAAGCGCATTAAGATATATTGTGTCTCCATCAGCCACCGAAACACGCCGACCGGGAGCTGGGGCTTTGTTGTTTCCGTCGCTTGGCCAGGCCATCCAGTTCAAGAGACCATCGATCGATTCCAGCTCTGTGCTAAACGGCGGATGTAAGTTGGGGGCAAAGAAGATGGGTCTCCCTACTGCAGCGCGTAATGCCATTACATCGAGGCCGTCACCACCAAATGATGAGACAAAAACTTTGTCATCCACAAGAAGCTGTGCGGGCTGGTTGGAAAACCGAGCAATCTTCTCGCCAATAAGCCCAGTTTGGTCGATACGCCACCAGTTAAAGTCAATGGAAATAAAGACTTTCATGTCGTTATTGGACGCCGATTCGTACAACAAGCCAAGTTGCTGATCGGTGAAGGGGTCAACGCCAATGTTGAGGGCAAACGCATCAATACCAAAAGCCCTGGCTCGCTTCATATCCTGATCATAGTCCGATGACGCTCTACCCACGCGGCTTGTGCCCATCTGGATTCTGTTAGTAGTTGTTTAACGTTAAGATACACAAACTCTAACTATAAAATGAGCAAAGACCAGACGGTCAGTGTCGTTCATGTAATTCGTGGCATCGGCGACAACTGCAAGAGGAGAGTAGAAAAGACACAAAAGTAACCGGCACGTGATCGATACATAATAATAAGCCATTCAGTCAGTTCGGATTGCATGTCCTGCTTTTCCCTACCACCTGTATAGGTGCAACATTTGTTGCAAGTTATAGCCTGTGGATATCGGCTACTGACGGGGCTCGAGGCTAGGCCAAGGCAGTACCCCACCTTGGAGCACCGGTACTGGCATCGGTGATTAGGGCATCGCTAAATTTTACCCAACGCGCCCGGGCCACATTACGTTGTCGTTGTTCAATTATATCCGTCCATAAATAGCCTCTCCAAAGCTTTTAATCATCTTACCAATGACCGTCTCTATCGTAGTCCTTCAGGTCCACTAACGCCTGTTCTACCGTATCCCCGCCTTGGAATCACCAAGCGGAACACTACATTGCACATTGACCCCTCACGAATATCGATGGAGAGTGATCCTATGGATCAGGCTGCTGTGATAGGCAGGCAATCCGAAGAAACGATCGAAGTCTTTTGCCAAGGTGAAAGCTTTCTGTTTTCAAAACAACACCTGATAAAGGCATCGCCGTTCTTGAAGCATAAGGTCGAGAATTCTACCGTGATATACCTCGATGATCGTAAAGATAGGGTAAGACTCTTTCAAACGTTCCTAGGGACTGGCGTAACATCATCCCCTACATTTGATTTCAATCCTACGCCTCTTGAGAGAAGATGTCTGATCTGCGAACATGACCGTCAAATTAGTTTGTCTTATGGTGCAATCTGGCGAGACATAGATATCTATGCCTTTGGTATGAAATATGGTGTTATCTCTCTAGTCAATCGGTGCCTGGTTAGGATACGTTGCAGACTCTGGATTATCCAAAGTTCAGATCTGAGGCTTCTCCTACGTAACGTACTCAAAAGGAGTAGTGAGTATCGTCTGCTTGGTGGGTTGAAACGCGCAATATTACAGGAGGCAGAGGCAAGACTAGGCAGGAGAAGGGTACATAATTTATTAGTCTCTAAAAGGGTGAAGAATACCCATTGGCATTGGCTTAGGGGACCTATGGCTCCTCATAGGCCCTGCCAATGTAGAAAGCGAGCTAATGGCACACTCCTATAGTAGAAACTCAATAAACGTCTCGATGGAGCCAACAGCAACGAGAATTTTAACCTGTCTATCATAACCGATGTAGGCCGTTTAACACGGGATTGCTTTGATCGAGCCTTAGTCTTAGTATTTTCTATTTGATAATTCTAACCGCCTGGATGGAGAGGAACGGACATGTAAAGACAGATATTTTAGAAAGAAGCCCCCTTGAGCATTGTAACTTGAACATTGTATGAGGATTTGTAATGAATAATATTCTTATGTTCAGACTTACCTATATTAACATTACCGGAATCAGAGGAAATTTACTCCTATGCTCGATCCAGATTTCCGGTATGTCTACAATGTCTTAATTTTAAGTTTCCGCAGGATAAATTTTGCACGCTCCCCTTATTCACCCTATTTTAGTGGTGGTTGTTAATAGTGCTTACGTTTAAAACATTCTTTCGCATAACCTCACTATAGTTGACATCACGTGATTACCATGTGAGACACTCATGTTGATGCAGATAGCAGACGCGGGCTATACGCAGTTAATGTTCTAGCTAAAATATCGTCGTCCCTATTCACTCGGACTAAGTAGGCTTAAATTTGCGTTATAGTGTCTGTAAAGGCTCAGTCAACGTAAGTTTGAATCTTATCCCAGGGATACCTCTCCAAATCCGGCTGCAGTTTTACTATCAAAGAAGGGCCTGCCAGAGAAGGGCAAGTATAATAGTGTACTTTGTACATCCGCCATGTTAATTTTAGATTGGCTACCACAATACGGCATAGGTTTGGGGCAGCAAGAACTATATTTGGCTTTGTATTCTCCGTCAGGGAAAAACAGAATATTTCGCATGAGCATTGCACAATCTTCGAGCTCATGAGTTGCTTTGATGCCGCGTTATCTCTCGTAGGGCCTTCGACATGAGTTTCCGATCGAGTATCACAGCCAGCTTGCTCGCCCAGCTAGGAGTCGTTGCTAGATCTACTATTGACAGTGGGAATGGCTTTGTCACGTACTACTATGACGTCGAGCAGGTGAACACTTGCGGTACTACATTTGAGTCTCAAAATCAAGGCGGAGTGATGTGTAGCTCCCTCATACCGCTTTCCCTTAACCAGATTAATACAAACCACCTTGTCGCTATGAATAGCACCCAGCTACGCCAAGACCCGGCGAAATACTGCGGTAAACAAGTAATAGTCTCCGTTAGTGGGAAGCCATCCACCATGCAGCTCTTCATTGGGGATGGCTGCGAACGATGTAGTGTCGGCTCTTCATCCGCCAGGATTTGGAATGCGGAAGGCGCTCCTGGTCTTGACTTTAGCTATACTGTCCTAGACGAGTTGGCCGGAGGAAATGCCTGCAGTTTAGGTCACCTCGCAATCTCATGGGAAATAACTGACACGACGATAAACGACATTGTGAACAGCTCTTCTGGCGTTCCCTTGCCATCAGTATCGAAACAGCCTGGATACACGACTGCGTCCGCCTCGCCCCAGTGTTCAGCTCCTTTGCTGGTCCCGTCGAGGGTGCAGATCGGCGCAAATACCACCATTTCATCGGCAACTGCATGCACGAACAACGTTTGGAAACGCGACGGGAATGTCCTGGAACAGTGTATCGGCACCACATGGACACCCCGTGAGACATGTTTTGCTGGCTGGAGATGCCGCGGCGGTTCTAACCCATACTGCACACCAGGATACGTAGGGAAAGGTGTCATGTTGCTTTAAGTTAGGCCGACTGCCCATGCCGTTGGAATTATCGGGCTGCTTTGTTTGTTGGAAAACAGATGCCATGAGGAATCAATGTACAGTACCCACCGGCGAACGTTTGTTATTGTCATTATCATTTTTTTAAGGCTCGGATAGAAAAGGGATTTCGCCGTAATGGACATAAATTTTCCATATTCGATTTTATACTGGTTGCTCTTATAACTAGTGCTTTTCAGCCGGATTTATTTTGGCTATAAGGAAGGGCACAACTAGCCATGTGGGAAGCCCGTTTTATTGCAACGGTGAGAGGCAGCCTTTTGCTATCTTGAGATGCCAGTTTTGAAAGTTTCGATTCAAAGACCTCCTGCTCTCGTATTTACCGTGTGAAAGCCGATACATTCGTTTAACGAAATCCGGGGTTACACCCGGATTGAAGCTGATAGGCATTACCCGCGCGCAGAAGTGCTGAGTCCGCCGTGGTTTAGCGTAAAAATTATGCTAGGTGCGTGTGGGGCTAAAAATATCTCATCCAAGATTAGGTTATTAAACGTCCGATTCTGGACGTCCGACATATGACATTTCGCCCTGCCGAATACCGCAACGTTGGAAACTCCGACGTAGACTAAAATGGACTGTTGTCGCAGCATGATGAGGGCCTCCGAATCACATTTAAACTCTTCTAGTGGGAGTTCAACTCGACCCGAGGTATAAAAGGTACCACATCGCTAGGGTTTAGGACTTTTCACCGGTTGCCATTATGAAGCAAATTAAAAGAACGCCGCGGGATGGGCGGTTCAAGGCCAATTTCAGATGCTCTGCCCGATATTGCTTTCATTATACACGTAAAACCATGTGCCATCAGAGCTCGACGAATACCACGCCCACTTTCCATGCGCCCTGTACCATTACAGTCAAAGGCTATTGCCATTAATATCCATGTCCACAGGAGAAACACATCCCGACTTTCCATCTACTCTCCTCTCCTTCTATCTCTTGACTTCGACCCAACTTGATAGCCTGGCCCGGCACTTTCACCAGGTCTGGCCCCCGACACTCACAACGTTGCAATACCCTATTTTAATGTCCCCGTGGATTGGAATGTCTCACGAAAACGATATTAGTTTGGAAGAAAAAGAATGAGATTTGGAGCTTTCATTGGGCTACGGGGCTGTCTCTCGGACCAGCTTGGATATAGAAGTTGGTTGGGGTTTGGTGAGGGTTCAAAGTGAGCTCGGCCTTGAATGGCAGGTTCCAAGGGCACGTGGAACACATACAACCTCTTCTGAAAGACCTCAGTTGTTACTTTTCTGTAAATGCACTAAACCGACCCCCTACTAGCCAGTTCATACTGTTTTGATAGATCAATGCGTACGGGCAAAAGGTTATTGAAACTATTTTTGGCACAATATTCCGGGACACTAATGTTCTTCTAAAGATAGAATAGATTCAAATGGAACCGATGAATGCAGTGATATTGGCTCAAAGGAACGAAGGACGGTTAAGCACAAGAGAAATCGCTCGCTACTCCAACGCATCGGGGGCCAAAATCATACCAATGGTTTGGTGGGCAGACAACACCTACTGTAGTATCCACTAGTGGTGCCAACTCGTCGGGACGATCAAGTCACTGGCTCATATTAGTAACTTAGTATTGCCAACAAGTCTAAATTTGGACACCAGTGGTATATTTTTAGCCAGCCTAAACATTTTTGCTATATCTTACCAGGAGTCCTAATTCAATACATGTTATAGTGTCTAAGATTATCGCAATGGGCCGTGTACGCAGAGCCATTGTCAGCTTACAAAATAAGAGATCTCGCCTAACTACTTATCGGAAGCGCTCCGCGGGGGCAATGAAGAAGCTTCATGAGCTCAGCGTTCTTTGCAACCAGGATATATTTCTCTATATTCGTGACCAGGAAACTGGGAAGCTCCAGACATTTGCATCATGTGATGAGAAATTTGTACCCGACTACGATTTAATCAGTCAAGAAGATCGCAAGGGCCCTAAAGATATGCAGATATACTATACCCAGGCCCAAAACCAGAAACAGAACCAGAAACAAAAGCGGAACCAGCAGGAAACCCAATCGAACCAGCAGCCGAGCGACAAGTCGGAAAACCAATGGAACATCCAGTGGAGCAACCAGCCAGTCAATCAGCCGCACAACCAGAACCATGGCCCGAAATGGCTATCTTCTTCGGCAGGTAGCGAGGAGCACAAATCGGCTCATTCGGTGACTACGCCCCAAGCGCCACCCCGACTGGACTGTCGTGGACAGCGGAACCAGGGTTCTTCGGTATGGAACATTGTTTCGAACCCGAGAATCATACAACCATTTAGCAGCCTCATGTCCCAGAGTGAGTCTTGCCAGAGGACATTCAAAGCCACATTACGAATATTTACTGCAATTTAGCACCTTGCCTATACTGGCTACGACTTGCAGGCGTCGTTTGGGTTTAGGAAAGGAGTACTGGAGCCAATATTTCGGGGCTAGATTGGAAGTTTCCTTTTTCTGTATTCGCTAAATAGGCAGACCTGGCGGCGGGCGAGAGATTTCAGCAAAGCCAAGTCCTACACCTAGCGCAATCATAATAAAGCCAAATACCACACATATAACATTATCATCGAAGAATGTTCCAAATGGTAGCGCATAGTCCATGGGAGTCGGATGCTGACTTCACTTACTGACACCCGTTAGAATTAGTCGGTCTATTTTAGAAATCAATTACATACCCGGTGTTGAAGGATGTAGTAGAGAGTGAGAAATCACCGCAAGGCAAAGCTCCGACTGAGTAGAGTTGGGAAGTTATATAATCATAATGAAAAAGAGGGACACTGCATACTAGGCAGCTATAGGCAAGGCTCCCTCTGCTCTTTTTCTTTTTCTTTTTCTTTTTCTTTTTCTTTTCCTTTTTGTTTTTATATTTTCTTTTTTCGTTTTTCTTTTCCTTTTTGTTTGTCTTTTTATTTCTTTTTCTCGTGGCAGTGGTCCCACCAGCCCTAGCTTTTTTATGCATTTTGTTTGACTTCACGATTTGAGACTTTGCAGCTTCTTCTTCTTCTTCTTCTTTATGTTCATGTCAGATTCAGGTAAAATCATGCACGTTGAATATTACAGTGACTGTATGTTAGTCAAGCCAGCATTTTTGCTTTGGGTACGGTGGCGGAAGGGACCGTTGATGCAGTCGATGCGCACGTGACACCGCGAGCCCTACGTCGTTTTGCTGTGCCGGGGCGACGGACCAATTCCTTTCCAGCGTAGTCTATATGAGGATTCAACTCAGGCGGTGAATCTCCGCCACGACATGATGTTTGGTAATATTAACTGTCCCAATCCCTGTTCCCTTGTCCTGATGTCACACGCGAAGAACAGACCAGCTCGGCCTTATGTTGATGTGCTAAGGTCGCAGGATTAGAGGTGAAAGTGCTTTCTTTACCAATATTTCTAGAAAAGTAGTTGTGAATAGTAGTCGAGTCTACGATATCAAACTGGGGCTTACGACTGTTCTGTGTGAGATAACATGGATAATGAATTCGCAATTTGCAGATATCGCGATCTATCTCATTACCCGGATATACTGACTATGAAGAACGGAGCATTTACCTATTCCATCCCCTTCCCAAATAAGCTTCCAGCTTGCAAGAAGTCTTCCTCGGCCTATGCGCCTGCCTTAGCTGACGGGGTACTCATGGATATACTGGATGACGTGACCACGCCAAATGTCGGATTGCCAGTACAGGCAGGCTCTCCCTCAGGTGCGAGGTTAGAAGGCTGGCCCTTAAACTCAACCTTTTCACCAGGTTCGGGGAATCTAATGTCGACGCCTTCCTTCGTGATACAGCCGTTCACATTCGCAACAAACATTGCAGGAAGGGTGGACGAGGGCACGATGGACTTGACGGGGTCTCCGCTGGAGACATCACTTGTCACCGTAATAGGCGCACAATTCATATACATCTCGCGGTTTCCAAGGCGGTTGAACCAGGTCCAGGCCAGCGTATATTTACCTGGGGAGATATCACATGGAATGGTGAAGTTCGACGGATATTTCTCGATCCGAGCGGACCCACCAGCGAGATTTCCCTCCACGTTGGCCGGGCACCCACCCTCATATGAGGCGATTACCTTCCACTCCGAACTCTTGGATGGCTCAAGGTCTGTGGTTAGACTGATCTGGCACGAACCTCCTCCATGCATAGCACTACCCTGGAAGATCAGTCCATGCGATTCGCCCACACTGATAGTTGTTTCAGACTCGGGGGCCTCGAATGCGTTATCGCGCAGCTTGCAAGGGAAATCGCTACCATCTGCGGCTAACGGAGAATTATTAAGTGTGTCAAAACTGTAGGGCTCAGGTGATATCATGACAACATGGGCATGAACGACCGAATGAAGGAGGAAGGTAATGAGCGCCAACCGGCGCAAGGAGACGCTTGATACCATCATCCTTTACTGGGGTTCGAGATGAGGAACACATGAGAATATGTATTATGGTCCTTGATAATTGACAGCTTATAGAAATTCCGTTACAAAAATAGGCATTGTGAGACTTACGCGGCAACGTTGGAACCAAAAATGGTCCAAGAGTCTACTTGTACAGCTAGGAAATATGTGAGGCGTGAGCCGGTAATTTAGCGTGGTTTTGAGACACGGATATATACGAATGGGATCCCCATTGACAAGGCTCTTCTTGTAACCATGCAATACAAACCAAAGTGAACTTATACCGTGTATTTTCTTCAGCTTGCAAATCTTGATAATGTAGCTTTCAAGCATCGTAGTCGGAAAACCCAAATACACAAACATATTCACAATTCTAGAATTCAAATCCAAATTCTATATTACTCTTACTGTTGTCTAACATCTCACACTCGTAATAGCGAATCAAGTGCTCTTACATTTTTAAACATATACTCCCTGTGATATATAAATTGTCCAGCTAAATTACAGATATGTTTATGGTAATCAAATACTTGATGGAAAGTTGCTGGCTTACGTGGTTGTGGAATATGGCATTGACCATGGTGTCTGACGGCGGCGCTCGCTTGCAGGATAATTTCAGTCTTGATAGAACAATGTGTTAAGATATAGAGCCGAAAGGGCATACTACTATAGTTGGAGGCTGGTCCGGGAAGAGGCTTCCAGATCCGTTGGATCCATTGTTGGCGATAACAGCAGTGGAAGTCGGTGTATAGTGTCAAAGATACGGAAATCCGTCTGATCAACCTTCTGATCACAACGGCATGCGGCCTGGAACGGGATATAACTGCGTTCAATGAAGCCTGGGGCAAACCGGGCTCATAACTGTCACGCTATAATGACCCGTTGATCTGATGATTTGGAGACTTGACTTTCTATCTAAAGGAGTGACGAAAGTCGGTTTCTATAATTGTGTTCATTCCTATGCCAGAGACAATCTGTAGGCAGCAGCTGTGCTGCCTTGTGCTAGTGCTGATCACGCTATGCGTAAATCCGTTCACGATATCTCATCTTGACAATGCTTAGAGAAACCTACAATAGGAGAACAGATTTCAAAGGGACGAGCAAGTAAGATTTGCCTGCGCATAGTCAAAGGCATCCAGATACCCCATCAACTGGACCACAGCGGCGCATACGACCAGGATGTGAAAGATCGAATGGGAGCCCCATAGGTCGAATTTGCCAGGATATTGGCTTTCGGGAAACCTGGTCTCCAGAACCACATGTGTTAGGGTCATTTTCTCTCTTGTGTGCGGAATTGGGAGACTTACTGCATAAAAAAAGTCCCAGATAGAAGGCAGCCTGCTTTTGCCAGAGTATAGGGAAAAGCTTTTCTCATCATCTGCGACATGCCGAACACATTGAGTCCATGAATCAAGGGTGCAACACCGGACAAGCCAGTCGCCACGAACATCAATGCTCGGAAAAGGCGATACTTTGGGCCCTGGAACTTGGGATGCATTGTCATGAAGATGGTCAACGTCCCGAAAACTCCAATCTATCAACCAAGAAAAGAAGAGTGTTAGACTCAAGTACCAGGTCCGGGGTGAGGAAATGCCAAACTGTGCACATGGAGATTAACTAACCAAAGACCAGTAGATATTGCGTGGCAACGGTTCACACCAGAAAACCATGTATATTCCCAAGACAAGGTCGCCCAGTATGAAGATCACTATACCCAGCATGTCCAGTCGCAGGCAGAAATGTCCCATCTCTCGGGAGTGGTTCATCAAGGTGTGGTACGTTGCCGACAACGACAGGCACGTGGCGGCTGTCAACATGAAGATGGAGAAAGCAATAATATCGGCGCCAGTGGCCCCGGAGTATCTGCTGGCAAGGTACTGCGGGATATACCACTCGCCACACAGGAAGAAAACGGCTGGTATGAGGTGAGAATAGATGTTGACTGACTCGTTGTGAATATACGACCAACTGCAGAACGAAGCGTGAGCCGAGCCTGAGATGGGCCGATAGCCACGGAGAATCCACTGGTTAGATTCAAGTCGGAACCATTTCGGCATCTCATCGAACCATAGAAGAGCTGGCCGTCCTGCCTTGCGGGCCTTGGACGCGGTGTCGCTGATAGATTCCATTGCCCGCGCTTTGTGCGCCTCTGGGGGATGCGGGGACGGAACTCGAAGACGGGGAGCGGATGCCATTTGCTGTCGCCTGATGATAATGTGATGTGGGGACGCCAGGCTTTAAGAGTCAGTCAGTGGAAATGCAAGATGAAGAAAAAAAGTGTCCCTCTTGCTTTGTTTCTTGCTAAGCGCCAGCCTTGTTGTTACCCCGTTGCGAAGCCCAAATGCAGCAATCCGGCACGACACATCCGACGCCACGATCGTCCAGGAAGAGTGATCTAGCAGGATGCAAGTTACATTGCCCTAGGCTAGATACCTTGATCACTAAATCACGAAAGTTTCCTAAACCCCCGAATGAGATTACATATCACCTGAAAAAGTATGAGTCTATAAGAAAAAGCCCTTTTGGTCATCGTTGTTTGGATATAAAATGTCAATTTACCGTATTTACTATGGGTGCTATTTTTGTCGTGTGTCAAATTTGATGGGGTTCAACTGTCGCGTGTGTGAAATCAATTACCCGTTTGGTACAGTACTGGGTACTGTAATATCAGCAGTAAGGCGCAATCCCAATTAATGACAACTCTGCGCTCAAACTGTCGACGTGTCGCCCCACTAATTCATGCGCTTCCAAAGTCTTGAGCTGGAAAATTCTTCCCGGCAACACAATAAAAAACTATTTTCATCTATACGTGGAGGGACGGATACGTTTGATGTTCAAGGTAACAAAGCACTGTCTGTTTCGACAAGCTGACATATATCCCACTTCCCTTCTACATTAATAGACCGCCTATTGAGGTGAGAAGATATAAACGGCGTTGTCGCTGAAAATCAAAAATAGCACCATCGACACCTTTCCTTAATGTATATAAAGCCGCCGTTAAATCCCTACAATGTCATATCCAAATGGCCGCCGCGACAGCTCTATCCATTGTGGCGTGTTCATAGAACTCTTTGCTTAGGCCATGGTAAAGTTTTCCTCTAGAATTGGTGACCTCGAGTCCCACTAATGTAAGTAGCATGCTTCCAACGCGCCCGACTCGGTATCAGCCCTAGTGGTAACTCTCGTATTTGGTATTGTTAGCTTTCTGTTTATGAGTTACATGTTTGCGCTATTGCGTCACAGATACCCTCATGTTTATATGTCGAGCAAGCAAACGGGGTACCTGCCCATATATGATGGTCTTACCAAAACATGGACGGAGTGGTGGGACCTGTTACTAAGTCTGTACACACTTCGGGATGATCATGTGTTATATCATCATTCGCTAGATTCGTATCTTTTGCTTCGATTTCTTCGATTTTGCGCCTCGACGTTGTTCGTTGGTACGTGTATCACGTGGCCCATACTTCTCCCCTTTAACCGCAGCGGAGGAGGTGAAATGGTCCAGTTGAATTCTTTGACCATTTCGAATATTGCAAAGGAGTCATCTTTGAGATATTACGCACACTGTTTGAGCGCCTGGGCCTTTCTGGGTATGGTTGAAAGCACCCCTTTGACTCTTTTCCGCTAACATAAATAGGGTGGTTCTTCGTAAGTCTTACCCGGGAGTACAATATGTTTATCAGGTTGTTCCGCAAAGCTATAGTAGATCACCTCGAAACGGGGGACACGTTATGCAGGACCGTCCTTTTTACGGGTGTGCCAGTGGAAGGCCTACGCCGGAGTCAAGTAGTAGATCGTATCGGGCGGGAGAAGTTGTCTATGATCTGGGAAGTACCCGATACAAAGGACGTCGAGAAGAAAATCCAGGAACACGATCAGACTGTCAAGGTGATTGAGGAATGTGTGGTGGAGTACATTCGGCGGCGCCAGCAAGCATATAGGAAGTCTACGCCCACTGTAACGTCGAAAACATCCAAACACAAAACAGCGGCCATAGTACCCAACCACTCGCTAACAGACCACCAGAGCGTCCTTGGGACGGAAATGCAGGCAACTATCATGTGGGCCAAGTCAAGGATGCCAAGGTTGAAACAGGAGATCGAGGACCTACAGTGTAAAGGTATAACCAATGCCCCGGTTCTTCCTTGTATATTCGTAGAGTTCAATAGATATGTTGATGCGAGCTCCACTTTTCCACCGGGTATGTTGTATGCGCCTCCAAACCATCGATCACAAGCTTAGACTGTTCCCTAGGGCTCCGGCGCTATGATGCAGTCAAGGACCAAATCATCTGGGAAAACCTGCGGTTCACGGGTAGCCAGCGCACTTTCCACAATATATGGGTCGGTATATGGATTGCAATTATCACCCTTCTCTACGCTGTTCCAGTGACCATGGCTGCTGCCTTTACAAGTACTGACCTCTGGGCCGAGCTCCGACCCACACTAACCATTCTCGTCCGCGTACCGGCGTGGTTTAGGGGGCAGTCGCAGGTCTTTTCCCTGCTGCCCTTACTTCCATTTTGATGGCTGTTGCTCGGACTCCAATTCGCTGTAAGTTATCCTCTAGCTGGAGCTCTGTGTTGGTAGGTGCACTAACACGTTCTCTAGGGACTATCAGGCAGAGTGGCATACCAACCCTGTCTTCGCTTGAGCTCTGCATTCACAAGGTTTTCTTTGGCTTCTTGCTCATCCAGATACTACTGGTGACAGGTGTCTCTATTGCTGCTCCACCTCTCATTTCCCAGGTCATCCGGCGCCCTGAGGTGGCCGATATCGTCATATGTTCGATCATCAACCGTACGTCTAATTTTTACCTCTCGTATATACTCTTGCAAGGTCTTACCCTGAGTGCAAGCAAGCTACTTCAAGTAGGCAGACTGGTTGTCAATGGATCACTAGGCAAGCTCTTTGATAACACCCCCGCAAAGTGTATCACCGATGGTCTGAACCAAGGCTGAAATGGGCGAACATCTATTCCCGCTCCACTCTGCTCGTAGTACTAGGTAAGTAGGCCCGAATCCTTATTGTGACTATTCTCGTTCTAAAATCTAAAAGGAATCGCATACTCATGTATCGCGCCTCTGGTTGTGGGCGCGGCCGCCCTGGGGTTATATCTCTTCTTTATCATCTACCGATACAACATTCTCTACATTATGAAGGCGACGATTGACACACGGGGCAAGAGTTTTCTACTGGCCCTACAGCATGTCACCATCGGGTGCTACCTACTGATTATGTACCTCATCAGCGTGTTTGCCATAGGACTCCTGAATGACCGGTCGGCAGTCGGCCCTATGATTGTGACTGTCGTCTTACTCGTGACTGTCGTGATCTACCACTGCTATCTAAGTATGATGATCCGGCCATTTGCTGGTGGTATCCCACGGCCGGCAGAGAAGAAAGGCGCGCCGCGGTTTCGTACTCCCGCGAGTGAACTCTGGACACCACGTATCTGGTTCCCACATGATTTTACTGGGACGATCAAGACTGAATTGGAACAGCTCTCAGGGTTCATGATCGCCATTGATTCTGCTGCCTGGCTGGATGATCATGGTAAAATCGTAATAAGCTTCCCGGAAGCGGCAGCTATTGTCAACCCGTGCGGTAGACCCCTATCTGCTAGAGTGATCTCATAACGCGGAAGTTCTTAACAGTGGACATGTGGACTATGCGACTTTACAGCTGCTAGCCTTACAATCCAGCATAGAGTTAAAAGAATTTATAGAATGCTTGAGACACCATTAGTAGTGCCAACCTTTAAAGGGAAGAAAGCAGAATGTACTAACGCTTGCTACACGACACTGTGGGGATTGAAGGCGGAATCTATGTAGCCGACGATACTATATTTCTTTTACGCTTAATAGTATGCGACATTTAACATTACCAAAAAGACTTTACGACATCCTGTAAATGTAAAGAATACATCTTCAGCCGTACTGTAGAATATTACAGTCTTAGTATTTGAAAACTATATATTAGATTGGGAAACATATTTTAAAATGTGTGCGGGTGAAAATTCGGTTGATGTACAGTACATGAAAGGTATCTTACTCCCAACCAAGAGATGATTTCAGTCCCCTCCTGAAGAGTGGTTTAGGCTTCTATATGGGGGACAGGTCCTTGAACGTGGTCAGGTACTAATATACCCTTTTGCCGACACAATCAACCGGCTTGGCTTAATTCTTGGCGAATGCACTGAGCGATATCACGTGAAGTTTTATCCATTTTTTGTATTTAGTCTTGTCTTTCAGACCGTTCTTGATCCCGTTTTCCGACAATCGCTTTCGGAGTGCAAATACGATAGTCTTATTGGCATTTTTTGGTGTAGCTGTAAAGTCAAACTACCAATTAGGGTTAAATAGATATACTGCCGGCAGAACCCGACGCACTATAAATAGCAGTACAGGTGCTCCCAATTGGGGAGTAGACTTAAATCATCTCGTTTATTGGTCATTTTTGTACATGTTCTCAAAATATATCATTCATACATACACACTAGTTCTTAATGGTTTATACCGTGCCCCGAATTTGCCGAGATCGATAAGTTCGACATAAACATGCAGCCTCGTGATGAAGCTAGAATTTGCCCTACAATTTGGTGATCCCAACTTTGTCACAGTACGAGTACGTACACGGTATGACTTTGTCTGATCTGAATTTGGATCTCCGTTTGATCTTATTATAGACGTGGAATCAGACACAATCATTTCTTTCCCGATGTCTCTAGTAGAAAAGGTCTCCTGCATACAACACTTGAGGGCTCAAGTGGCGCGAATCTGTCACTGGGGTTTACCAATCGCCCTTTAGTAATGAATTGCTTTTCGAGTGATCTCCTCTATAAAAGAATACCATAGTCAATAACGCAGACTCATGCGATTGAAGGATGCATTGCACAATCGCAGGTTACTGCCGGTCCCTCCGAAACGTGTCCGTGACCCAGAAGATAGGTCGCAGCTGAGAAACAACGCCGGAAAAACCAAGTATCTAGACTTAAACAAGCCCTTGCCCCTGTCTCCGGAAGAACAGGCTGAAGCACAAGAAGCCCTCCATCAAGATATTGTCAACTTACTTACGGTCAGGACATCACACACGAGTCTCATCGAACTTCCTAGAGAAACGCCGAGTACAGACGATCTTTCGGAGGGGAGAACAAGCCCCGAACCAGTTTCCTACCAAGAGGATGGGGAGCACTCCAGAGGAATGAACGATGAGAATCATGATACCTCGCGACTTACAGTCCTTTGTGACTTAGTTGACAACGAATCTACGTCGACTCAGAGTGAAGGTGGATCGCGGGTCACTGTAACCGAGCTACAAGAGGCGCTCATGAAGGCAAACCCTACCCTATGGGAACTACACCTGAGAGCGCTAAACCCGGAGGTGCCTGGTACAGAGGAATACTATACGACCCTGACCATAGCTCCCAATACCCCTGTCAGCTGGACACCTGAATCATGGCTCGATCAGTATAAATGGGAACTGAATATTTGCAGTCATATAACCGGACTTATATTGGAAAGATACAAACCACAAGGCGCCAAGGACCATGAGGTTTTCGATCCGATTTCAACCCAGGGCAAACACTGGCCAAGGGTTCATCAGGCGTTTTGGCGAGTGTGGACATTCTGTTTGACCTTTGGCTGTAACAAAGGCCGGGAATGGGATATCCAGAAGCAACAACAGTGGCTAGCCGGCAGTGCCTGTGATACTGAAATGATTGGAGCGACAATTGATCCGTCCGATACCCCCACTGAGCATTGGACGCTTCTTCCTGAAGGATTCGGCTACGGGAACCATATGGGGTTATCGGTCTGTGAGGTGGAGGATATGCAGATTCTTTGGAAATTTCTCGAGGATATACTACGGGAACATGTAGGGGCCCCGCCACCGGATTGGAAATGGGAACCAGAGTATCAATGTATGGCCCCGCATCCACGCATTTCATGTCCACTCCTAACATATTATGATTATAGATGAATGGGTCTACTATATGCTCACTCTTGGCTTCGCCGCCGTCAGTCATCTGCTCTCTCGAAATGACCCATATGAACGGGCGGCGCAACTGCGATGGACAACCCAACCCTGGTGTTTGCCTCGGCAAAGTCGGAGGCCGTTTTTAGTTAGGGCATGCGACGTGTGGCTACATCAGAATACTGGCAATATCTCCAAAAGTTTAGATAGAGAGCGGGTTTAATCAACGTGTGAGTGGGGACGCAGACTGGCGTCCCCAGACTAAACTTGGACGAGTGGAGTAGAGCTCTATGCTCGAACTGTATATTAGCTGAGAAATGAACTGTTTTATTTATTTTTATTTTTTTCCTTCCTTGCTTGATGTTGCTTTTCGGATTCTTTTTTTAGAATTTTTTTTTTTTTTTGTTGTCTTCCTTTTTTCTTTTTTTCTCCTTTCTTTTTCTGTCAGGTCTTTTTCCCCTGTCTCTAGTATGACTAATCAATGATAAAGTAACGTATTTCACTAGCGAGCTGCGCACACGGGCGAGCTGCGCAGCCCTGAACACATAGCAAAAGCGATAAATTACAACATGATATTTCAACAATCAACGCTTTTATTGAATTTCATTACTCGCTAATAGCAATTGATAAGCATTTTAAATATCATATATCAATGTTGAACAAATCGAGAACTTACATTGCTATAGTTGACTCTAGATACAAGACGTAGCGCGAGGAAGCAAAAGAAAGGTAGCTTCCTCGCGTTCAGGGGCACCCATGTACACCATGTGGGTCCCGTGCGGATCATATCTCCATCCGTTCCGCATGCTTCATCTATATCCTTGACATCCATCCTGATTACGACACATAGTGTATTTATGGAGGACCTCAAGCGATAGAACATGTCTGACTTTCCAGCATCCTGATCATGAGAGGTGATAGTGAGAAGCGGTTGCGGAGGGATGCCCGCTAATCAGGTTGTTTTCGTCTACTTTAACGTGCCTAGTATTCGCTTCACGACTCCTTCACGCCCACGATTTCTTGCAATATCTACCAGAGCCCTGACCCAGTGTCTGTGGATTCGATCCACGAATCAAGCTGTAAGGCATTTCAAAGAAATGCAGCCACGTGGTATTGCCTTCCACATACAGCCCATAGCAATGGAAGTAGCTGAGATTCAGTCTCCGTCCCGACACCAACCCATGCCCCATGCTGTCGGAGCAGCTTTACAGGTTCGAGGTGTCCATATTTAGCCGCCCAGCAGAACAACGACTCACCGGAACGAGTCGATGTATTAGGATCTGCTCCCACTGAAAGCAAAAGTTTCACGATTTCGAGGTGTCTTTGTTGTGCCGCAGTCGACAAGGCCGTCTGGCCGCTCTTGGAATCCACACATGATAGAACTTTCCGCGAGACAGGTACATCCAAAAACTTCCTGAGAGTTTCGATACGACCATAATGTGCTGCCCAGTGTAGAGCACTACTTTTAGAATAACGAATGTTATGCAGATAAAGTGTGCTGTTAAGTAAGAATCGCAAGCGCTTGCACACTCGCAATAGAGAACTTATGTCACAATCTTGGTCAGAACAATCGGCAGTATAGACCAAAATTTTATTGGGCAGACCTAGGAATTGCATTGACGATATCCACGGAGATTTTGTATGTGGCTCATGGTAGAAGTAGACCAGCTTGATATCGGTGATTGACAGGTGACGATCCCATAAATATTTCGACTTTTTGTTTTTTTTTTTTTTTTTTTTTTTTTTTTTGGTGGCCCATGAACATTAATCTATCAAATGATCCACTCCGCCCAACCGGCTAGAGGTTTGGCTCCTTTTGTTCTCCGATTGGCGACATGCATTTGAGAAAGATTTGAAGCGAAATTTACTGAGAGAAATATGACTTTACCTTCATGAAACAGTGCTCCTAGTTGGCCTACAACCTCTTATCATGCCGGGCGGATTCCTGAGATGGATTCCCTTCCACTTCGAATCCCTCGCGGACTACTGTATCCCTTCTATCCAACCGCAGGAGCGTCTACGGCCCGAGCGGTGACCATGGCAACGGATCGTCACCGGCGTGTATGGCCGCCCACCCCTCTTGAAAATTCATGACCGCGATGGAGTCGTGAACTGGAGCTTCCAACGCGACGACGTCACGCAGCCACTGCCGGACGATGTTCATAAATGTCTCTATGCCCACGCCAACGATGCCACGGAGCTTAAGTATATGAACAACGGCACTAGTGTCGGTGCCGTCTATAGTGATCTTGCCCTCGTTATCAACCACGCCCCCGAAAATCCAGCGACGGACAAGCTCATAACTTTTGCGCTTTGTAGAAGGAACGAAGTCCTCTGGAATGCGCATACACTCGAACCCCTACCGGGCAATTTACTTGCTGTGGGTACTACTGGTCAACGAACCTGGGACGGTATTCTTGTCTATAATGCTAGCGCCGCCAACACCCTCGTTGCAAACCCTCCAATTCTTCAAAACATCACCGGCTTACGAGCTATGCACGGTTTGATTTGGGATGAACAAGGACAAATGCTATGGGCTGCTGGCACGGACGCCGCAGCGGATGGCACCGATCTAACCCCTGCTTATGGGATTATCGTGGGATACCCCTGGGACTCTAGGACGGGCCTACTGTCTAAGGACGATCGCTTTATCTATAAACTACCCGAGGCATACCTAATTGAGGCTGAATGGGGTAAGGGATACCCTTGGTGGGCCGGTTTGCATGACCTAGTACCTATCCCTGGTCAGCGGAAATTCCTTGTGTCGGAAGACCGCGGTCTACACGCATTTGATATCGAGACGGGTCAGTTCACAGAACATTATGAGAACGTCACCAATAAATATTTACTAGGATTTGAGGTTACAACCAACGATCGCCATGGGTATACTGGTGACGGGAGGTGGGAGGAGTTACCTCAGTCGGACCTAAAGAGTTTTAGTATTGCACCCGATGGCAGTTTCATCTATGTGCAGTCATTGTGGACTAAGTTCCGTGGTTCCCACACGAGTTTGGTTGTTCAGGGCAAGAGACGCAAGATCAATATCGGCGATGAGATCTATAGGTCGCGGTGGTTTGGAAATCTGGATGGCTGGCCTAAACCTTGAACGTTGTTAGGATCGTTTCAAACATAATACGACCCTAATTTCGAGTAAATCTTGCTTATAGGTTGGATTGACTTGACAATTTGTCCCATTTGCATCTGAAATGTCTAGTGTGATATAGTTGGCCTTGTTGAATATGGATATTGAGATCCGTGAAGAGCACGTGGAGTGCTTTAACGTGGAGAGAATGACTTAACTAGCCAATTCTGTTTACAAAGTTATGCCGCTTTCGCCACTGGCTTCTTAGGTCGCGTAAAATCGGTTTGGCTCACAATGTCCGATCAAAATCACGATGTCCAGTCAGGGTCACGATTACCAGTTGGGACCACAACTCTCCGCCATTCATCGAGAGTTTGGCAACGGTCGAGGATAAGAAGCAAATAGTAGGTATGGTCATAAGGCATGCGTCGTGGCCACATTTGCATCATATTATCCGAGGTACCACCATCGCGACACAACGGTTTGGTATTGTGGATACTCAGATTTCATTGTCAAATAGCGCGTGAAAATCAGCAAGCGTGCAGGTTTGTTGCCAATATTAGCCTCTGGATCAAGCACTGTGAACAAAGCAAGGCGAGCGAGAATGGACCTAATTATTATGAAAGATATTAACTGTTGCCTTTGTTGGCATTACATTACAGTATTTTGTTCTCTCTCCTGGCCGGATTATTAGCAATCCCAGTAAATAATAAAGATTTGTTCGGAGCTGTTGGAAAGAGACAAGGATATGTAAGTGTGAGAAGTACATTTAAATCGCTCTTTCGGGTGGCGGTTCACTTATTATATGCCAGGAAATCAATATTAATGTCATCACGGGGAGCAGCGAAGATTGTGATCCTACACGGCTTCGATCCAAAAAGCCCGGCAGCAAGATGGGGAGGAGGAGGAGCAGCTATAACGCACCAAGAAATGGAAATATCTAGCTCTCTCAATTCCTTATGGATGAACAGTTACATTTCTGTTCCCTAGAACAGCAGCCCAACCCTTCTATATACGCTGCGCGGGTGAGTGATTACTAGGCCGATATGGAAATAGTTAATCTACTACTTAACGGAAATTGCTAAAATGTCATTATCATTGAATTTTATATGTCGTTATATCTGAATATTATCCTCCAGCTAGACTATATCAATCAAGCTTGTTTCAAAAATCAATATTAGACAGCACCATACATTTCCAAGTGTTTCATGACCAAACAGCTGCTCCCACCGCACAGCGCACGCAACCAGACTGGGTATGAAAAACTAGCCCGCGCGTGAGCAGAAGAAGCCTGCATGCTGGACTCCCTACAGGGCCTCGACCCAGCTCCTGGGCTGTCCTCTGAAAATACCCAAGTCGGCAGGAACTGACGGAACCTGGCGAAAGCACCAGGACCCGGACCCAGATACACCCCAGGCCAAGCGGATGGTCGGCGCACTTGCGGACGTCGGCCATCGTAACCCCTCGGGCAGCTCTACTGGGTCGATCCTCATCACACCCAGGGACCCGCACTCAGCTTCTGCCATGGCGACCTCGTCGGGGGTTGCGTCTAGGCGGAGAGCGGCGAGGGCAGTGGTTGTAGAGATGCCAAGGAGGAGAGAGAGGTAGGTGAGGGGTTTCATGTTGGAGTTGGATCAGGCGATGACCTTATAGAGTGGTGTAGTTAGCCGCCCCCCCCCCCCCCAACCCCCCAAAAAGAAAAAAGAAGACGAAGAGCAAAGGAGGCCTGATTGAGAAAGAAAGATGGGAGAAAGAGGATTTCGTACCTTCGAAACTCACGCAGGAATACTGGAAGGGTATTTAATGAGTGTAAAGGAGAAGGTGGCAGGCGCTAATCATCTGGGAAATGAAGATATTAATATGTTGGGAAGCAGCGGGCTTGATCCCTGGCTGCTACTAGCGGGCAAGGATATAAGACTCTCGTGCTGAGCAGGGGCGTGGTGAGGTTCGGTGCTAGATCTCAGCGCTTAGCCTAGTGAGGAGCCTGCTTCTGTAAGGCCGCGGGCGTCAGGCGAACAGGCGACGTGGTCGAAATTGGCCCCGGGCAGCCCAACTCTTCGCTCGGAGGGACAACAGGTCTGGTTGGTGGCTTAAAAGCTGCTATCGGGGGCATCTTGTAGGCGCCGCCTGAGTTATTCAAGCCAGTGATAGCAGGCTTATTGGGGGGGGTTAGTGTGCCGGAGTCGCTCGGCCCGGGGGCCAAATTCGTCGCTCATGGATAGCTCATGAGTGAGGCTCTTGGATGATGTAGATTGCTTGCCATCTTTTGTACTTCGTCTGGGATATGGAAGCTGCTTATTATGCGTCCTTTTGTGGCGCCTCAGGTGCTCAGCTCGAGTCAAGACCTTGGACGGAGAGTGAGCGTGAGCCCATAGAGAGATTGAGAGTATGCTGACCTTGTTGCAGCCAGGGTAGTCGCAAGCATGTATCCGTTTACCCTTCTTTGCCTTGCTGATACGTTTTGTAACTGGTGTTAATGTGATGGGGAAAACAACGGGCGCAGGGCTGCGACGTCTGCTAAAATCCATTCGCGGCATATCGAATCGAAAGGTTGCTTGAGAGTATAGTAACAGAAGAGCCGGGTACAATGCTGTGAGACGAACGCGATCACCTCAGTGCGGCGCTTTATGGACTCTATACTGTAGATGAAAATGGGAGGCGGGGTCCTATTGGTGGGTGCGGGTAACGTCAGTATCACTGGCCCCCACTCAAAGTGCTTAAAACTACAGTAGCTGTTATCCGAGACAAAGAATCTGAGGATGTACGAGGCTAGCTCCAAACAGAAACCAAGCACGGACGCTCTCGAATAATTCAAAGTAGGTCGAGTTGCGATTGTTAGTTTAAAATTGATAGATGGATTTGAAAAGAAATCGACAAAACAGTCCCGTAATGACAGATTAGCAAGGTGTACTCCGTATTCAGAAGAGAAAATAAATGAAGGCTAGTTCAACCGTCATGGCGTGCTCCGAAAAGGTCTTGCGAATTGGCAAAAAAAAAAAAAAAACCCCTCCAAAAAAAGGGAAAAGGAACAAAGAAGTGGAAGTTGACCCTTTGAAAAAGAAAATAAGAAAATAATTTTTGTTTTTCATTTTGTCTTTTTACTGAAAGGTAAAAACGCCCACGCTAATATAATTATACACTAGTTGACCAGGGATTGGTGTGATTCCTTTGTAGCAGGTTGTTGCGGTCCTCCAGAATAAGCAACGTACAGAGAGTATTGCCGCAGGAACGTATCTCATACCTGCGCACAATACCGAGCCCCAAAACATCCAAAACACCATACTGAATATCTCAACAACCACGCTTTTATTTATTTTATTGCTTCGATAGTTATTGATAAGGCTTATCAACGCTATATATCCGGTTCAAGGAAATCGATACGCTGCATTGTCATGGTATCGAAAATAAATTGCTGTGAGCCTGATGTATACATATTTGAATCACTGAGACATAAAAGTTTTGTAATAACCCCAAAGAGCCTAGATATAACCTAAAAGGTATTGTGCTATAAGTCAAAGTCCTTATAGACGACCGTTGTTGAGATATCAAGCTGTAATTGATCCTATTTAGTATGGTGGTTTCGGTGCGCAGCTCGGTAGTGAGCTACATTATCTACACTGGTATTCAAACCGGACTGGGGCTTTCATCGTGAACGGTTGGATTTTCATGCTTTTCATGTTGCAGAAATATGCCATGCCGCGACAACAGTCCAGTGGTTCTAGGCTAGCTCTGCCAGTTTTAATATTCATGATCAGTCTAATTTTAATATAAGCCGATCCTCTTTTTACTTTTATTTTAGCCATAGGTACTGAAAGAGATATGTGATAGCTTGAAAGAATCAGTGTATATTACCGACCACATGTTCCTAAAGAAATCTCTCATGGTACTACGATACTCGATTTAAAGATCCTCGAGCTTGTCAAACGATATTTAATCACCCTTGTAACATTCACCAAGCGCGTCTAATATACAAACTTTATATATCAAGAATAGTCAATGTTACTGTGATGACTATCCGCCACATTTCGTTTATCTGCTATAGAAGTAAGTCACACTATGCTCTTTCATTAGAGTAACAATCCCCAAATTAGAATGAGGCCGCTAGCGACAAGGCTAAAGTATTACAATTAGCGCTATCACAGGCTGGTTTTGTTTGTCATTGCCCTTGCAAGAAGGAATAGATTGTCGCCTCGAAAGCCGAGCATTGCAAGGAGGAATCATAATCCATCTCCTTAGGTAAGGTCTCTTATCGAAGCAAGCGCTGAATAGCGGTGCTGTGCGACATAGTGTGAAGGGCGTGTGGGTCCATCCCTCCATGAACAAAAAACGAGGTCTGTGGTCACTGTACATACTACCAGTCTCGTATGTAGGAGACACATATAGAGCTGGGATGATATAAGAGTTGAAAGGATTTTAGAGGTTCAACCGTACGCATTTGGGATCCATCCGAGAAGAGAAACAATCCAAAATCAGATAGAAGTAGTCCATAAAGGGCATCTATTATGGCAAATACATAGACGAAGAATCATTCTAACCAGAAGGAAGCATCGCGTATATACCTCATCAAGACGTTAGGTGTGATTAGGCTGTCTGAATGCCCTTCACTGCATGTTCGTACGGGCGAGAGTGGCAGTTCAGATAGTGGCTCCTTGCGCGTACGGCTGCACCGTGCTTTTGTAAGGCCCATGGAATACTCGATAGAGCCAGATGTAGACCCGCTAACAGAGATATCATCCAGTGAAACCCTACACGCTCCATAAACTGGATGGTGAATAGGGGGAAAACACAGGACACCCCATATAGCATAGACACGTCTACTGCGAGGACAGAAGCACCGAGCTCGGCACCATGCACTTCGTTTTTGTAGCGTGCATAAACCAACTATTCGCGGAGCGGATGAGCGGTGGTCGTTCAAAAGACGGAAGGAGCACAATACCTGTGGTAAGGCAAAACCAAATCCGAAAACTGCAGACGCTAGAATCACCCAGGTCCAATGAACATTGTGACGTGGCAGCCACGCGAGACTATCTCAATGTCAGTATGTCTTCAGGTGCAAACGAGCAAGTTTCATTTGATAACGCGAGATTTCCGAATTTGGGAAGGGAATGGCAAAGCAGTATCCAATGCTTACGTTAAGAGAGAACTCCACATCGGCGGTACCCGCTAACTTGCCGCCGACAAGAATGTATTCCGGGTCTTTTTCCACGGAGCCTTGTCTGCCTTGTCTTTTTTTTTCAACAAATCCCATCACCGGGAAGGCTACAAAGCCTGCTGCCAGTTGGGCTAAGAAGGCCAGCCCCGTCTGGTATGGGGAGAATCCATAGACCTCGTTCAACATGATCGGGAACGCTGCGTAGAAAACGAAAAGCACGAGCTGGCCCGCAACAGTAATAGAGGTAGTGGGGAATATGATAGGCTCCACCCAGAGCATATGGAGTGGGCGTAGGAGGGCGGGACCTACGACCTTGCGCCAGTCATGGCGAGGGGAACCGATCGCCTTCCTCCGCACCTCTGGCTCGTAGGTCTCTGCGATGGGAAGGGCTGCGAGAAAGCAGACACTGGCCAGTACGGCTATCAGCCGAAAGGTCCACCGCCATCCGCCAGCGTCCACAACGGACTGTCCGATGATACGCCCAACTGTTGGTGCAGCGATACCTCCAAGTCCAAAGAGCAGAAATATGGGAATATGGGAACTGCCAGACGGTCCTCAGGCATTTTCCAGAAATCATTCAAGACTCCCACGAATATGGTCACCAACGGAGAGCCAAAAATTCCCGAAATGGCACCGGCAACGGCCAGAGTTCGAAAGTTTGACGCCGTGGTACAGACGATAGTGAAGACGAGGTAAAGAAGCAGAGAGCATTTAATAGCCCACTGTCTCCCAAACTCCTCTGACAACGCCGAGGAGAGAAGAGGACCAATGGTAAATCCCATAGCATACAGGGTAACAGGGGATATAGCCAAGGTAGATCCAATCTGGAACTCTGCTCTAATGCCTGGAATGCCAGCAATGTAGATCGAATTTGCCAGGGTGCTAGATTAAATCTTTAGTGGAAGCCCAAATAGCAAAGATCTGAACTTACATCTCAAAGAACGAGGCAATTGCAACTATAGAGATCAGGACTTTGGTAGCAATGCCCCACTGGCGAGCGCTATAGTTAGCAGGTTGGGAGGCGACTTTTGCGTGCTGTACTAAGTGGATATCCCAGAGAGTGGAGTCACTAGAATGGAGGGTAGTATCACTAGAGTGGAGGGCATGTTCACTAGAAGAGAGGGAGATGGGTGATGGGGTTTCTGGTTCCACCAGAACCGTTATCCCCAACTTGTCGTCTGTGCCACTAAAAGGAAGGTCGGTGTGTGTATCCATGTTGAACAACAAATTGATGGCAATATATCAAGTTGAATAGACCACAATAAAAAGGTATACAAGCAAAAAAGCGCTGTAAAACAAGAAGGAAGATCTTGCCAGAGGACGGGCATAACATGTATTAAATACCCCAAGAAGGGAACCCATAGGGAATAGACCATGGCTAGATCGCAACACGACACCTATGGCAATATCACCTAGGAAGGTGAGTATGTGTCGTCATGTTTCTGCATGTGTTGATTCCCCGGGCCACTCACAGTGAGAAATAACCGATGAGGCCTGTCTTATCAGGGTTGTTCGGTCAAAGAAACGGATGTATACCCGTAATATGTCTAGTCTATACTACGATATCCAGTAAAATTGATATGCTTAGTGAAAGCAGTCACGATTGCTACATTTTCTAACCCTTTTTGGTAGATTGTGCGTGATAAAGAAATCTGTTCTAGACCCACCCACACAGGGCCCTAGGCGCAGGATCTCGTCTTATATACAGTTAGTCCAGGTAGGTTTCCTCTTTGACCAAGAGAGTCATACCTGGACCTCAAACTCCTCGCATTCGTCATGTATCCACGTCGCCACTCTTCTTGGATAGGTGGAAAGGGGAAAGTCCAGCGCCTTCTTTATATGCTATGGGACGGATCACGAATACAGCTTCAAGCTCGGAAGGGTCTTTTTTCAAGCATGCGAAAGAAGGTAATCATCTCCTAGTACCCTGGATCCGATGTTTGACGAGCTAACAGTTTGCTGTATTTCCAGTCGATACAGTTGCATCATAACAGTCTCGATAGCCTCCCAGGTACACATGGACTGCAACATGTGCTTCTTCAAGGATACACCCCCATCCTCCAACTGAATGAGGTAGGCAATAAGGCACGCGCTGCAATCGCCTTGTCACCAAGCCAGGGATTATGCTACTACCCGGGAAGCTCCACGGAGGGTATAAGCGTTTCTCCTCGACCAGCTCTTTGCCGATTGCTGCAAGCCTGCGGTCACTGCAAGTCTCACGCTCAGCTATCAACGGCCAGTGCCCCCAGACGCGGAGCTATTCCTAGAAGCCTGGCCAACAAAGGTCAATGGTCGGAAGATTGAGATGGAGGGTTCAATCAGGATACTGGACAGAGACACCCGCGATATGACCACAGTGGTCACAGCCTCTGCGCTATTTATTAGCCCTCGGAAGTAGAGTGGCCCAGCGACTGAAGGATGTATACAGTCCGCGCTGTGTACCTATCATGCTGCCAGTCATCTTGTATGTCTAACCGTCGAACCCGTCTAGCATTGAGGATGTCGCGAATCAGAACTGGGTTGAGAAGGTACTAAGGCCTGCGGCGGGAGTTGACAGGTAGCAGTAGGCTGCGGCATTAGACATCTATCATGATAGGCATTTTTAGGCCAACCTTTCCAACCTTTTCATTATCAGATTTCACTGTAGTATTTGGCGGCCGAGGATCCAAGGCCCGGCGAGGGATTCTTGCCTCGTACCGAAGATAGAGTCATTTTCCACCGAAGAGTATCGGTCATAGAAGTCCAGTAATGTTGCGAGATGCGACTTATCTTACTAGTAACAGAGCGGATGTTTGTTGGTATTGAAAGTAGAAAGTAATATATGTAGCCTATCCTCTCCTCAATATATGCGGGCTACTTCTAAAGAGAATAAATTTTTGAATAATGTCTTAGAGCCACTGAGTAGAAAGGAACGACGGTTGCCATTGTCAATGTCGCAATATACGGTAGCATAGCTCTCACCGGTTAGCAATATGTGTCTTGAGATCTGTAGACTAGTTAATTTTAGATCAAATCTCGCAGTATGCTATTTTCAGTCCAATGCTAATTATAGGACACGGTGAAGCGACCTACAGCCGTGTTACTTATAAAGCCATCTAGTGTATTCCATGGTTATCTATTTTCGAATCTTAACGCAATGACAGGACCAACTCTACATAGCAATGAATATGAGCCATCGGGGGTCTGGTCTTCCTCGCACGGGTCATATCCAGCTATTAAATCATCCACACCCAAGGATCCTTCGCGCTATGCAAATCTTGGATCCCATTGGAACGGTTCCTCTCAGAAAACACCGAAAAGCCGCATCGGGAAGCGGCCTATTTCATATAGAAAGCCAGCCAAGCCCTATACGCGTCCCACCCACCCTGTCCTAGAGACCCAACAGGAATCTTCGTTAGTGCAAGATGAGATTTCCTCATTTGAAAAGAGATTCTCTGCTCTAGAGAAACGGTTGTCCGTTCTAGAAAATGACTGGACTAAACGATGGGCCCAGCTACAGAATTCGACTTCAATCCTTGGCAAGCAGCAGGATACAATGTGAGTTGCCCTTTTGCTGCCAATAGAAGTGATCTGAGACAGAAAAGCCACCATACGCTTATATTGCTCTCCACCAAACAGTCCGAGCTGTTACATCCGGATGGTCTAGACTTCTATCCTACCGATGAGAAACCTCAGCCACAAGCGCTAGTAAGCCCAGGGCTAGAAGACCAAGGCTCAATCAATCCGGAACTTTTGAGCAACGCATTTGATAGCGAGATGTTTGCAGAAGAGTCTGCCGGAGCTGCCTTTGGCAATCTAATTATGTAGACTAAGGTTTTGCTTAATATTTTATATGGGGTACCTGAAACACATTTTACTTAGCCTCGCTAGTCTAACGTGCACGGGAGGTGGCGAGATAAGGCGGTGTGCCGAAATTCCCTGATGGTACTCGAACGCAAATGAACATCTCTCGATCATTGAACCGAACCGTAAGCTGTCGGTTGAGTGCTCGGCGTTCTCGATGGTCTTTTTACAATTAGCGTGGACGATCTCGAAGTTTGCTTCTCTGTCGTCTTGATTCAAGGTTCTGGATGCGTGGGAAGTTCGTCCCTATCAAAGTATATGCGAGTGAGACTGCACGCCCTGTAGGTAAAGACAACATCCGACAGTGTCACAAGAGAGTACATGTAGATATACAGTGGACTCCACTAGACAGCGATCCACGGATATGCAGCTGCAGTTTGCATGTACTTTGTACCTGGTAATGTATTGGGTTATCCACTAAAGAAGCCACAAAGAAGCATCAAAGAAGAAACAAAGAACCCCTGGCGCACATGCTTCAGACCGAAACGATCTGAGACGCTGATGTTCCTATCAATGAGTGGGAAATGGGCCCATCCTAATTGCCGGTAAAGACCATGTTAGCAATTCAGACCTGTTGCGCTTTCTATTGTTGCACCTATGGGGCACACTGATCCCTGTTCCGACATAATCCAAGGCGTCCGGGGTTTGGTTGGTTCTCGGCTTGCGCTTCAGGTAGCTACGGCCTTCAAGATTCACAACACGCCGTTGGTTTGTTTGTTTCGTCCTAATCCGTAGAATTATTTACGACCACTGGTTGAAGAGGAGTTCAGCGCTCTTATCTATTATAATATCCCACACAACTATTCTTCCTTGCTAAGAAGCTTCCGAACGAAGAACGCAATTTACAAATTATCTGAGGCCCCAAATTCACTGATTTCTAATTCTCTTCGCCTATCGCGATCCGGCGTCTTGAATGTGAAAATGCATTTTCTTGACTTACCTGCGGCATTGCTGTTTCTAGCTGCAGATTTTCTGGACGCAGAAGTGACATTAACTCGTTGGCTCGATCCAGCCAGCGGTTTTACTCTCTCCTCAACCGCTACCTTTATCAGCGTAATTCGCATTCGCTGAAGCAGGGGAGTTCAGCGTTGTTGTGGGCTGCCCAGCGAGGGAGCGAGGCGACGGCTCGAACCTGCGTTTCAGAAGGAGCTGATGTTAAGATTTTGGACAAATTCAACAGAACACCACTATTCTTGGCTGCGTCGAAGGGCAGTGAGGAGGTGGTGAAGGTGTTACTTGCGACAAAGGGGGTAAATGCCGACTCGAAGGATCGGTTCGGCTGCACACCGTTAACTGAGGCTGCATCGCATGGGCACGAGGCAGTAGTGAGGCTGTTACTTGCGACGGGGAAAGTCGACGCGGACTCGGAGGACTCCTACGGCATGACACCATTGTCTTGGGCAGCGTCGTATGGGCACGAGGCAGTAGTGAGGCTGTTACTTGCGACGGGGAAAGTCGACGCGGACTCGAAGGACTCCGACGGCATGACACGCTCCTACGGCATGACACCATTGTCGTGGGCAGCGTCGTATGGACACGAGGCAGTAGTGAGGCTGTTACTTGAGACGGAGAAGGTCAACGCGGACTCGAAGGACTCCTACGGCATGACACCATTGTCGTGGGCAGCGTCGTATGGGCACGAGGCAGTAGTGAGGCTGTTACTTGCGACGGGGAAGGTTGAAGCGGACTCGAAGGACTCCTACGGTTTCACACCGTTGTCTATGGCGGCGTCGAAGGGCTACGAGGCAGTGGTGAAGCTGTTACTTGCGACAGGTAGGGTGGACGTGGACTCGAAGGACCCCGGCGGTCGGACGCCGTTGTCTGGGGCCGCGTCGGCCGGTCACGAAGCAGTGCTGAGGCTGTTACTTGCGACTAGGAGGGCGCGGGAATCAAGTTCTAAAGAGTGTTAGGTCAGACCGAATTCGAAACCTACTATATAGTAAGGCTCACTATCTAGCGCTCTAGCTTTGAAAGCTGGATAGCATTGCCAGTCTTTTAAGGTAAAGTTGTTTGTTAACGAAACGCGGAAGCATGTAGAGATTTTGCTACGAACTGGCTTACTCAGCAATTAAACAAAGGCTCCAGAGAACCAAAGTCGTTATATACCGGAACAACTACAGATAAGTGAGGTGGGAGTAATTGGATACCGTACAGTAGAATTCGAAATCAGTTTTAACTCTAAACTCTTACTTTTTATGTCCCGGACCCTAGGTGGAGACACGCTAATCTAATTTTAGCTCTTCCCCTGTTAATCCATGTAGGGCTGTATTGTATTCACTGGTAACCACAATGAGTCATTGTTATAGTACCGTAATTTCATGTAGAAACAGATGGAATCCATCGTGCAAACAGATCAAACAAAAGAGAATCCTAACAATCTGGCAAGATCTTCTTTCATTCTCTCATATCTTGCTTGGGCTATTTGTCAAGCGCAGCCTTCGCCCACACTCTTTTGCATCCAAAAGAAGGCTGTAGTGACGCCATAGAGAACTTATCCTGGTACGCAACTTGTTTCTCTATAGCTCTGACTTCTGCTATCTACTGCGGTTCTCATTCGTCACCAAGTCCTAAGCAAATCCGGTACTTGGGGAAGCTGACATGGACCCTCCCAGGACTGCCATCGTACTGTAGAGATGACACAGAGCCCATATCATGACGATTTCATCCCTCATCCCGAAGATCCTGCAACATGGGAAAACAACTCACAGTACGCTCCAACACCTGGATATTGCGGTAGTCCCAATGCAACACGGTTCAACTACAGTCCTTCCCCCTCTGTTGTGCTAGAAGATCAGTCACAGTCGGATATTCTTAGGCTGCTCCAGTTGTCTGAATGGGAAGAAGGAAGAGTATACGACAAGGACCCGCCGACCTGTATACACTACCGTCTAGAGTGGCGTGTTACAGTCAACAATCGAGAGGTATCAAAGGACACGGAGGAAGATCTTGTTTTGGCCCCTAGTGCCTTTTGGCAGCTGTTCTTGGAAAAGAAATTAGAGAAAGTTCTTCGACGAAAAATTGCCCGTCATCGTCAGGTGAGAGCTGATGACACTGCGATTGTCGTTTCAGTGAACGACCGAACCCAGCGCAATTTGACTAAACGATTTGATGATACCGAGATCATTTGGACCGCCATCGAGAAGCAGCTTCGGATGTGGTCAGGTCTATTCTCCCGGGGTAAAGAGCTCACGTTGAAGATAAGTTTCAATTACGTAGACGATCGTCACTCTCCTCCAGCCGCCGGTCGGAAAGGGGAGAAAAGAGGAAAAGCCTCTGTCACGAAGAGAATGCTCGATGAGAGAGCCGCTCAGATTGATGCTGAGCAGGATGCTTCTGGAGAAAGACCTATCTGGCGCAGCGTCTACAACCTGATGCGATGCGCATCCTCGACTTGCCCATTAGGCCCATATTGTTGGGTGCATCCAATGGGAAAAAAGCATTACCAACTGAAGACTCATCATCTGAAGCGGCTCGTTACCCACGTCGAAAAAGGTGGGGTGTTAGACGGGCACAAGGATGTGCCAGAAACAGTATGCGAAGAATTATATATGGAAGAGCAACAGAGACAGGGAAAGAACAATCGCAAAGGAGGACATGTGACAGGAAATGGAGCACCATATCCTGCTATCAACATCAATGTCCTGCCCTCGCAGTCTTCTACCTCTGCGGCTGCACAGGTTTCTGCTGACTTCCAGTCCATGCAATCTCCAGGCCCGCTTGAGATCCCTGGACCTAGGGATGAAGCGGTCAAGGAATATGGTGAATGGCAGGTGTCAAATGTCACTGATGACACTCTCAAGGCTGCATTTCGAGAGATCTGTGACATGATGATCGACAATGGTCTTGATCTTGAGCAGGTCTACAAGGATCAAGACCCGGAATTCTTTATCGAAAAGGGCATAAAGATAGGTATTGCTCGACGGTTCGTAGAAGACATTCGGCGCTGGGTCGAGAATGTGAAGAAAGCAATCCCTATATATGACATAATTTAGCAACTACCTGCTTTGGCGTTGGAGCACATGGCGTTTAGGAGATTTAATTTAGCATAGTGCTGTTGACCGCAGGTTCAATTAACATACTACTGGTTTCACGAGTGTTGATTTGTGTAGTTGGAATTGTTGTTTAGAGGCTACAGTAATACATACTATAATTTAAGCCAGGAAAAAAAGTAGCTGAATTCGTTGAACTTTTTACCCATCATTTCCACGTACCATTACTACAGCGTTTTTGACAGACTTGGGCCGGATCTCCACCAGAGGTGGGGCTGGGTTACACTGATATTGTGGGGATGGCAATCAGAATACTGAGTAGTTTACGGTTTCCGCAGCAATGTGAGGTGACACTGTGTAACTACGGGTTCAGAAAAGCTGGCAGAATTGCATGACATTCACTGCTAAATTTGTTCTAGAAGAAGCTCCAAAGTCCCGGCGCCATATAGACCTCTTCTTCGGTCGTGTTGGCCTTCGCTTGTTAGTTGAGGTTATGCCTTGTTGGTGACTCAAGTATTTAGGCTTAGCTTTCCTGCGAATTCCCTCAGAATACATCTGACGGCCCTGTAAATATGTACTGCACTATATGCATCAAATTTACACAGAATGGGAGATACAAAAAATAAGCCCCAGTACTCTAGGCGGCGGTCCGAACTCTCATAGATACTGTATTTCTCATTCTCAACGTAACGTGGCCACCAGTACTGGCAGTACATGTATTCCAAGCATCAACCTAAATGCTTCATTCATCCGACGACTTGTTCCCTCTTTCCTGATATAGAATATGACCAGTATACTGTCCCTGTTCATCGTGGTAGATATGAGCTGTTTGAGCCTTGTTGTTTTTGAATTGTTCCTCCGTTGCAAACAAAGCTGTAGCATGCGGAGTGAGATCGGTATGGCTCGTGTGCGATGGATTCCTGCAATGGTAAGATTTCTGGAAGATAGCAACTTCCTATTGCACTTAATATATAGAATAACTACCGGTTCTCTAAGTATCCAAAATCTGGAGTGCGTAGCCACCCAGGAAGGTTAAAAAGAATGGGGTGGATGGCATAAAATCGGATCGACTTAAAATCAGAAAAGTGGAACCATATAAACAAATCGAATCGACCACCATCCTATTTACCGCTATTGGATAGAGAAAGGAGGGGCAGCGCTCGTTCGAGGGGGGTGTTGGAAGCCGGCGTCACGTGATCGACCTCGCCTCCACCCCTTAACAAGCCAAGATAGTTAGCTTGACAATGGCTGTTGCGCGATTACGTAATCTACACGTGAGGCCTCAATTCTCTCCCTCCCTCTCCCTCCCTCTCTCTCTGTCTCTGTCTCTGTCTCTGTCTCTGTCTCTGTCTCTGTCTATGCCTGTCTGTGATTCAGAATCTTCGAGGAACCTTTACAAGCGACATCAGCAACTCTTCTTACACTTGGGACGAAATGAGTCAGGCTACTCCGGTGCGGATAGTCCTTCCATATCGCGAACAACCTTTTCAAAAGCCTACAGCAATCATCAACGCTTTCTTTACATGGCGAGGTATTCAACCCCCCGAGAAGACTACTATACACATATATGCAGTGATCCTCGATCTTCTCGGTTATATCTCGTTCTCGATCTCCACTGCAAAACACATCCAAATGTCGATCTTAGCAATTTAGACCTCGAAGTCTTCAAAGTCTCAGGAATTGATCCATTGTGCGTTACCCTCTTCTATAACCTAACTAAGCTAACTATATTTAGTACATTTCAGGATCTCGGAGAGGTAGCTCGCAAGCAGGTTCACCAACGATCTGCTTCTCTGGATTGGGGGGAAGGCAACCACTCTAGTCAGAGGAATTAGTCGGTGTTGTACCAGCACAGGGAGGACAGGATCCCGCTATATTCGTGTCTTGCGCATCGAGAACCAACGGGAGGTCTCTCAGAAACCCTGAGGGAGGTACGCATGGGTCATTTGCAGTGCTTCTTGCGGGTGTACAAAAGATAATGTGATCTCGATTCATGTGTTTAGGAACACGCGTACAAGCTGCGTATGTCTTGCAAGCCCATTCACACATTGCGTGAGAGTGAAGGAAGTCGGTTAATATTGAATATCGCAGAGAGGACCTTCACACAAAGCGGATCGTGATGCGAGAGACGTAGTCTTGAAAGGGAAGGCGGCTCGAAGAGGAGACAATCTGTATTTATAGAATCAATGGTCTGTTCTACAGCTCTAAACACTATTCAAAAAGATAACTTACTTCGTCCTTGGTTATAATAGTTGCGGGCTAAAGGGGCAGCGCGATCGACGGAATAATTAAGAGGTTCAGCCCCTGGAACACGAAGGCTTCCGCGGGTCTGTTTGATCGAATTTGTGATGGTATGATACTGCTTCGATGAGGGGGCAACGGAAGTGGATATTGCCCCTACGGTAAGACTCGCGTAGTTCAGAATCTTGTGTTTCGGATGTATAGATATTTCCTGTCGAACAAAGAGCATGAATGATACTTTATAAGCAGACAAACCAGGTTTGTGTCCGTATGGAGCAAAGTTGCCGAGAACCAATAGTATGCCTGAGTTTACCGCTGTTGGCTGAGATTTCAATGTGGCTACGTATCCTTACGAACTGCTTGCAGGTATTGGCCAATAGCTGGGCTGCATTTGCAGGAGCCATGCAGGAGCAATCACATTAGGCGTTTGTTGATAGTTCAGCGTCTCTGAGCCGACCGAGACCGAAGCACAATCATCAGGACCTACACATAGGCGGTGGAGTGAGTCGGCCTAATTTTCTTTCCGCTGGACCTATAAATGCGTAGCGTCTTAGCTGGCCTGGCAAATATCGTACGTAGCTTGTCATTGGGTACCTTGATTTAGGTGGACTTTTGAAAGGACCCAACTTACTGCCTATTTATAGTTCCTATCATTTACAAAAGCTAATGATTGCTCCGTG